CGTCGGCCCCTGCTGTCTGCACACACCGCTGGAAGTCGCCTCTTAAGCCTCTCAGACTCTCAGAAAGTGCTGGCCGTGAAATGGGGTTCCAGCTATTATTATTATTTTTTAAATGAACTTATTTATTTATTTATTTATTCGTTTTTTGGTTGCAACGGGTCTTCGTTGCTGTGCGGGCTTTGTCTAGTTGCGGCGAGCGAGGGCTACTCTTCGTTGCGGTGCGCGGGCTTCTCACTGAGGTGGCTTCTCCTGTTGCAGAGCACGGGCTCTAAGCACGTGGGCTTCAGTCCTTGGGGCACGCAGGCTCAGTAGTTGTGGTGCACGGGCTTAGTTACTCCGTGGCACGTGGGATCCTCGCGGACCAGGGCTCGAACCCGTGTCCCCTGAATTAGCAGGCGGATTCTTAACCACTGCGCCACCAGGGAAGTCCCTCCAGCTATTACTGATAGCTCCTAAGAATATCCCACTGCCAGCATCCTGGACAACATTCAGGAATGCGACACCTGGAAGAAATAAAATAACACCCCCCACCCCCTCCCCCCGGCGTGTGTTCTTTCAGAATGGAGAGGCCACGGTGGCCTGGGGACGGGGTGGAAGGACTCCCAGCAGGCTCCCACCCCACCGACTCCCCACCCTGTGTCCTCCAGTGTTTCTCGGTCATGGTCATCATTCTCATCGTGGAAATCACTGTCGCCACAGTGGTCCCTGCCTTCTTCCCGATTGTAAGTACAGCTCGGCTTCTCTCACTCTGCATTAGAAATAAACAGAATCAATAGAAGCCCCGCCCCTCCCCCCAGGAGGCTCCCACGCTCGCCAGGATCCGGTGTTGGTGGGAGACTGAGTCTCCAGAGATAGGGCGAAAAGCCGGAAACCTCAGCCCTGCCTTCAAAGGCTCCCCTCAGGAAACTGCGGAGTGAATTGGACCACCTCTCATTTGGGGGAGTAATGGGAAGTAACTGCTGGGGGAGGAAAGGAAAGTAATTGCTGGAGGAGTAATGGGAAAAGCTGTGAAGTTTCTTGGGGTTTTGAAATGAGTTCAAAATAGAGGGCTATTTAGCAATATCCATCAAAATGAAAAAGCACGGACACGTTGACCCAACCATCTGGTCCCTAGGAATTATCCAAGGATATGCTTGGGGCGGGGGGAGTTTATAATGCATAATAGTCCACACAAGGGAGTCTGATGCAGCTGGAAAGAAGGAAGGAGGAGGCTCTATATGCAGGAGATGGTACATTCTCCAGGACGCAGTGCTGTCCCCGTTTGCGTCCCCCCAGAGGCTCACCCTGAGAAAAAGATCTGAAGGCTCATCGTTTATTTAAGAGGTGATCCCAAGAAGCTCCTGTAGGGGACAGGGGACAGGCAGGAAAGGGAATGTAGCCCCTAAAAGCTGACACTGTGGGGCTTCCCTGGTGGCGCAGTGGTTGAGAGTCCGCCTGCCGATGCCCCGGTCCGTGCCCCGGTCCGGGAAGATCCCACATGCCGCAGAGCGGCTGGGGCCGTGAGCCATGGCCGCTGAGCCTGCCTGCGCGTCCGGAGCCTGTGCTCCGCAACGGGAGAGGCCACAACAGTGAGAGGCCCGCGTACCGAAAAAAAAAAAAAAAGCTGACACTGGGTGCAACTGGGCTCAGTCCTGGTGGGGGATGTCGGGGACGCAGCAAGGAGCACGCCATCTATTTTCTCCACCCAAGCGAATAGGGAGCTGCAGTATTAATCCAACACCTCCCATCAGTCATTGCTTAAGGGCTGCTCCCAGGGCGCATGCGTGCGGAGAGGCCATTGCAAGAACCTCGGTTGCCGGGGGCTTCCCTGGGGGTCCAGAGGTTAAGACTCGGAGCTTCGACTGCAGGGAGCGCGGGTTCCATTAGTGCTCAGGGAACGAAGATCTTGAATGCCGCAAGGCGCGGCCAAAAAGTTAAAAAAAAAAAAAAAAAAATAGAACCTCGGTTGCTGGCAGCGGGAAGCCGGGGCTCCGCGGCACAGAAATAAGAGAAGCCACCGGGATTTGAGCAGGGCACCGAGAGCCACTGCTACTCGTGTTGCGAACAGCCGGATGCAGAACAATGAGAATAGAATAAAGCAAGGGGGACAATAATGAGGATATACTTTGCTTTGACACACATTGCACACGTCTTTGGAGACACTGGAAACCATAACAGTCGAGGTGGTGAAGTGGGAGAAACTTGTCGGCTGGGAGAAAAAAGTGGGAGGGAGACTTTTCATGGTTTACCCTTCTGTGATTTGTGAATTTTGAGCCGTGTGACTATTTCACCTCTTTGGGGGAAAAATGGTTTTAATTTAGACCTCTATTTTAAAAATAGAAAATTAAAGTTGCCCCTTTTGTGCAGAGAGAAATTCAGGTGCTGAAGATGATATTCAAGTCCCTCATCGAGTTGCAGCCATAACGGGGGCGTAGCAGGCGTGTGGGCGATTCAAAAGAGCAGATGATTCAAAGCCGTTTGTGAGTTTGGTTACAACCAGATGTGCTGGGCTCGAGACCCACGCTCTTTCCTGTGTCCCTCTCTCGGGGGCGATGGTAGCCTGAGTTCGTCCTCCTCCAGCGCAGACCCATGGCTGGGGGAGGGGCCATGAAGGAAGCAGAAGGGAAGCCCCCACCTCATTCCTGAGTCCCCAAGAAACCTCACCAAATGGGGCACCTTGCTGTTTTCTGTGCTCACCGCTCCCTGTTTCATCTCTGAGGTTAGAGAAGTGGCCTTGGAGCACAACTTTGTGACCCTGAGAATTACAGAGGTTACAAGAGCCGGATGACTATTCCCTGGTCATGGAGAAGATGAGATTCACATCCTTTTGTTTTGTTTGTTTAATTTATTTTTATTGTAGTAAAAGATATATAACATAAGTTTATCATCTTACCATTTTTAAGTGTCCAGTTCAGTGGCATTAAGCAGTTTCCTATGGTTGTGCAACCATCACCACCCTGCATCCCCAGAACTGAAACTCTGTCCCCATTAAACACTAAGGCTCCTTCCCCCAGCCCCCCGTACCCACCATCCTACATTCTATCATTCTCTAGGAATTTGACTCCTCTAGGGACCTCATATAAGTGGAATCATGCAGTATTTGTCTTTTTGTGTCTGGCTTATTTCACTTAGCATCCTCAAGCTTCATTCATGTTGTAGCATGAATTTCCTTCCTTTTTAGGGCCGAATAATATTCCATTGTATGGATGGACCACATTTTATTTATCCCTTCCTCTGTCAATGGATACTTGGGTTGCTTCCACCTTTTGGCTATTGTGAATCATGCTGCTGTGAACATGGGTGTACAGATATCTCTTCAAGTCCCTGTTTTCAGTTCTTTTCGGTATATACCCAGAAATGGAACTGCTGGATCATCTGATAGTTCTATGTTTAATTTTGGGGGGAATTTCCATACTGTTTTCCACAGCAGCTGCACCGTTTTACATTCCCATCAGCAATGAAGGCACAAGGGTTCCAGTTTCCCCACATCCTTATCACCACTTGTTATTTTCTGTTTTTGTTTTTTGATAGTAGCCATTCTCATGGGTGTGACGTGGTGAGACTTATATCTTGAGTCTTGGTGTTTAAGGAGCAAGACTGGCCTCCATGTGTCATCTAAGCTCTTGAGGCAGATGGTTGAGAAGGATCTTTGAGGCTAGGGAGGGTGTGGAATGGAAAAACCATTGCCTGTTTCTAGGAGTGTTTTCCATCTGAGTCTGGGGCCCAAGAACTGCTATGGGGTTGAGTTCAGGCTTGGGAGGGGGCACACGATGGGTAGGGGACTTGCCTGCATCCCCGTTTTGGCTTCTGAAGCTTGAGGTGGTAGAAAGTACTTCTCATTCATTCATATAGTCCTTCCACTATTTTTTTTTTAATTTAAGTATAGTTTCTTAAAATTTTTTTAAATATTTATTTGGTTGCGCTGGGTCTTAGTTGCAGCAGGCAGGCTCCTTTGTTGTGGCTTGCCAGCTCCTTAGTTGCAGCACGTGGGCTCCTTAGTTGTGGCATGCGAACTCTTAGTTGCGGCATGCATGTGGGATCTAGTTCCCTGACGAGGGATCGAAACCAGACCCCCTGCATTGGGAGTGTGGAGTCCTAACCACTGTGCCACCAGGGAAGTCCCTATACCACAGCTTCTTTATCCATTCCTCTGTTGATGGACCTTTAGGTTGCAGTCCTTCCACGAGTCTTTATTGAACACCTACTATGTGCTGGGCACTGTTCAGGGGTCTGGGGACAAAGCAGGGCACAAAACAAAATTCTTGCCCTGTGTTGCTGACACTTGAGTAGGGAGATGGAGAAAAAAACTCTAAGTAAACATTGGTGGCAGGGATGATAAGTGCCATGAAAAAGAAAGCAAGGCAGGGAAAGGTCAGAGAGAGTCAGGATTTTGTTTACTTGTAGGTGCTATTAGTCACCTATTTTCAGCACACAGTGGGATGGCCTGTCCTAGCCTTTTTGTAGTTAGTTGGGGATCATGTGATGAGTTCTGTCCAATGAGCTGGGAGGAGAAGTGATGTGAGTCACTTCCTGGCCAAATTATTTAATTACCAGTGTAGGGCCCTCTGGACCTTTCTTTCTTTTTTCCACAATAGTGGAATCATCTGGATGATGGCTGCTTCACAAGCCTGAGTCCCTGAGACACTTTGATAAATGGAGTTCCCCTGCCAGGTTGGTATGAGCATGTAGTGTGAGACAAACTGCTGAAATTGAAGGGCTGTTTGTTATGCAGCATCACTTAGCCTGGCCTGGCTGATACAGGGCTGGTGGCTAACTTAGAAAGAGGGGTCAGGGCCGGCCTTCCTGAGGAGGAACACTTGAACAGAGACCTGAATGAAGTGAGAGAGGGAGCCGTGCAGACATCTGATAGAACAGCATTCCAAAAAGAGGGAACAGCCATCTAAAGGCAGCAAGGCTGATGCTTACTAAGTGTGTTTAAGAAACAGAGAGGAGATCAGTGTGGAGCTGAGTGAGTTCAAGAGAGAGCAGGGAGATGAGGACCGAAGGTGACAGGGCAGATCATGCAGGGCCTTGTGGGCCATGGTGAGGAGTTCAGCTTTTACTCCCAAGTAAGATGACAGCCGTGGAGGGTGCTAAGCCATGATGGGGTGAGGAAAGGGAGGCATTTAGCACAGGCATTGGAAAATTGTGACTACTCTAAACAGTAGCCATGGTGACCATGATTTCTAGTGTTTTTATTATTTTGAAATTTGAAAGGGAGTCTTCAAGTGATTATTCTCTTCTCTGCAGCTAAAGTGCTGTGGCATGAAGGACTACACAGATTTTCCATCCTTCGAAAGGATGACTGGCCACACCTACCCCAGGGGCTGCTATAAATCCATCGGGACCGTGGCCTGCGACGGGCACAACGTGTCTGCAGATGTCATCCACCAGGAAGTAACTTGACATTTTGTTAGGTGTCTAGGTAGACCCCGAGGGCTGGGGACTTTTATAAAAATTGCATTTTTGCCGGAATCCCAGCGATTTTGACCACAATTTCAGCTCATTTCGACCACACAGCCTAGAGTTACCATCCCCATTTCACAGATGGGGAAACTGAGAATGGGAGGAGAGTGGTTCAAGGTCACATGGCTTTGGTAGAGCCGGGATTTGATCCATGGTCGCCTGTGTCCATTGCCTGGGTCACACTGCCTGCCTCCCAGAGAAATCAAATTGCAGCAGTAATGATGGGAAATGATTGTTCTGTAGATAGTGATGGCCACCACATGACTGGGTACTCATTCAGTGAATTCAGTCTCCACTGCACCCCTTGAGGTGGGGACTGCCCTTCTCCCATTTTACAGATGAGGAGACTGAGGCACAGAGAGGTTTCCCATAGCCAGGGAGGGGTGGAGCTGGGCTTCAAACCCAAGCCCTAGCTTCCCCACCCCTAACTTCTGCTGCCGGGGAATAAACACATGGGTCTTCCTTGAGAAATCAGAGTCATTTCTTAATTCATCCCTTCACGCTGAATGTCTCTTGCTGGGTGAATTGGCCAGAGTGAGTCCCAGGCTAGGGCCTCAGAGAGGGACGTGGCACCACACAGTGACCCACTGTGCCGTGTACAACCTGCCTGTCAACCTCCCACTCACCCCCTCACTCATTCCACTCTAGCCACACTGACCTCCTCACTGCTGCGCAAATACAACAGGCACATGCTTGCCTCAGGGCCTTTGCGTAGGCTGTATTTTTTCTTTTTTTGACCTTGCAGCTTGGCTTGCAGGATCTTAGTTCCCTGACCCAAGACTGAACCCAAGCCCCTCGGCAATGAAATCACCAAGTCCTACCTACTGGACTTCCAGGGAATTCCCATGTTCTTTCAGCCTGGAATGCTCTTCCCCTAAATGTTTTCCTATCTCATCTCTTTCAAGTCTGTGCACAGTTGTCACTTCCTCAGTGAGGCTGTTCCTGAGCCCCTATCTATAAAAGGATGCCCCCCACTCACCATCACACTCCATCTCCTTACCCTGAGTTAGTGTGCCCAGCGCTTAATCACCACCTGACAAAGTCATTGCTGTACCTGCTTATTTTATTACCTGTTTTTCCCACTCAACTGTTAGCCCCACCAAGGCAGAAATATTTTCTCTTTTGTACATTGCTGGGTTCCCAGTGCCCGTTTCAGTGCCCAGCACACAGTGGACACTTAGAAAAAGCCTATTAAATGAAAGGGGGCACTGAGCCCTTTGAATTCAAGACAACTCAAGCTTCCAGAAGAAAGGGGAGTATCTCAGTGGCTGCAGGAAGGGAAGTGAAGGTCCCATCACCTGCAGGTGGCTGTTCTGCTCATTCACTGTGCCTGTTCTCTTAATCTTTCTGAGCTTCAGTTTCTTCACCTATAAAACAGAGAAAAGACTAGTACCCACTTTATGGGATTATAGTGAGAAAATACATGAAAATGGCTGAGAAGGTGCTGGATACATGTTAGCCCTCTTGTTCATATGTAAAGAGGACTTAGATATAACTAATGGTTACTGAATGCTGGATATGTATCAGGCCACTGCTGTGTACTTCATGTAGATTCTTTCTTTTAATCCTCACAAAAATCTTGTGAGGCAGATCCTATTGGTCCCATTTACAGTTAGGGAAACTGAGGCACAGAGAGGTGTAGTGACTTCTCCAAGGTCACACAGCTAGCAATGACCTGGGACATCTGATCATATTCTTTTTTAAAAATATATTTTTAAAATTTATTTATTTATTTAATTTTTGGCTGCATTGGGTCTTAGCTGCAGCACGCGGGCTTAGTTGCCCCTTGGCATGTGGGATCTTAGTTCCCAACCAGGGATCGAACCCACATCCCCTGCACTGGAAGGCGGATTCGCAACCACTGGACCACCAAGGAAGTCCCTCTGGTCATATTCTTAATGAACACACTTGGATATCAACACAAATGGACACTAGGGAGTAAGTGGTATGTTCTGGGGTGGGGTGAGGGAATGAGAAGGCCAAGGAAGATCCTGGGATTGGGGGAGCAGTCAAGTAAGAAAAAGCCAAGGTCCTTATGGCTGTGTCCTTTTCTCCTCCCTGAATCTGAGAGGAATGTTGGTGGTCCACCTATTGGGGGTTGATGGGGACTTGGAATCCAGGAGTCCCTAACCAGGTTCTGCCTGCTTTGATGTTTGTATCTGCAGGGCTGTTTCCCTAAGCTCCTGAAAATAACCAAGACTCAGGGCATCAACCTGAGTGGAGGCTCTCTGGGGGCAGCAGTGATACAGGTAAGGTCCAGCTCCTCTGGGACACACCAGGCTCTTTTGTTGAGCACCTACTGTGTGCCAAGCACTGTTAGGGACACTGGGGACAGAGCAGCGAGAAAAGACAAAATCCCTTTCGGGACTTCCCTGGCGGTCCAGTGGTTAAGACTCCGTGCTCCCAATGCAGGGTGCACGGGTTTGATCCTTGGTCGGGGAATTAAGATCCCGTATGCTGCAGGGCATGGCCAAAAAGATATATTATAATAATAATAATAATAATAAAGACAAAATCCCTACCATGGTGGAGCTGACATTCAGTGGGGGGGATGGATGATCATTTCAGTTTAAGATACCTGCTGGGAAGGAAGTAAAAGAGGGTGACAGGATAGGGAAGGGAATCAGGGATGGCCTCCCTGGTGACATTTGACCAGTGACTGGAGGAGGTGAGGAAAAGCCATGTGTGTATATGGGAGCTGACAGAGGGAAGAGCTGGTGCAAAAGCACTGAGGCAGCAATAAGCATGGCTTTCTCAAGGACCAGCAGAGAGGCCCCTGTGGCTGGGCAGGGTGAGTGAGGAGGATGGTAGCAGGAGATGAGGGCAAGGCCTTGTGGGCTACAGAGGGTGTGGCTTTTATTGTGAGTATGATAGAAAGCCATTAGAAGGGTGTTAACATTCACTTTTTCACTCTACAAACCTTATTGAGCACCTACTGAGTCCAGGCACTGTTGTAGGCACTTGGGATAAAACAATAAACTAAACAGACAAAAATCCCTGCTCTCATGGGGATGACATTCTAATCAGCAGGGAGAAACAAAAAATATGATTTTTTTTTTTTTTTTTGGCTGTGCCAGGCGGCTTACAGGATCTCAGTTCCCCAGCCAGGGATTGAACCTGGGTCACAGCAGTGAAAGTGCTGAATCATAACCACTAGACCACCAGGGTTTTATTAAATTAGAAAATTTATTGCATGATAGTGATAAGAGTTAAGGAGAAATATAAAACTGGGAAGAAGATAGAGGAGGTAATTTTAAGCAGGGTGATTTCATTACTGTTTACCTATAAAGGGGGCAAGGCATTTAGGTGCTGGGGGCCTCATATCTAATTCAGGTGAAGAAAAACTTACTCCAGGGATATGCCCTGTCCACCCAGCTAATGAGTCTGGCTTACACTTATGTGGTAGGAGGCCTGTGTGGGAAAGTGCTGGGGCTCTGAACTCCAGCCCTGGTCATGTCACTCACTAGCTCTCTGACAGAGCATCAGGACCATGGCCTCCCTCATTTGTAAAATGGACTTCCCAATTGTTGTGAGTCATTCATGAGTTGCAGTATGTCAGAGGCTTTGCACAATGCCCTACCCACAGAAAGCATGAAGTGATTTTGGGAAGTTATTGTCATTAAGTCTAGGGAGGTCCTGCCCAAAGCAAGGATCACAGGAAGGCAGTGGCTGAAAGGTGATAAGGTCTCATGCACCAGTAGAGATGCTCACAGACTACTCATTATAGCAACACTATTCTCATTCCTGAGCCTTGTCCGAGGGGGAATCTTTGCTCAGAGCCCAGCCCAGATAGGCCCCAGGGAGAAAAGAACGAACATAAACTTGGGAAGTAAATGTAAGTTGTTTTCAGTTCAACTGGTCTTGATTTTTTACACCATCCAGATTGTAAAAACAGAATGAAATATGATTTGTAATAGACAGAACGGATAAAACAATAAATAATGGCAGAATATTGCTCAACTTTAAAAAGCCAGGTTTCCCTTTTTTTTTTTTTTTTTTTTAAAGAAGATGTTGGGGGTAGGAGTTTATTAATTAATTTATTTATTTTTGACTGTGTTGGGTCTTCGTTTCTGTGCGAGGGCTTTCTCTAGTTGCGGCAAGTGGGGGCCACTCTTCATCGTGGTGCGCGGGCCTCTCACTGTCGCGACCTCTCTTGTTGCGGAGCACAGGCTCCCGACGCGCAGGCTCAGTAGTTGTGGCTCACGGGCCCAGTTGCTCCGCGGCATGTGGGATCCTCCCAGACCAGGGCTCGAACCGGTGTCCCCTGCATTAGCAGGCAGATTCTCAACCACTGTACCACCAGGGAAGCCCCTAGGTTTCCCTTTTGAAAAAGAGAAAATTCTCATCTCAAACACTAACCTAAGCAAGCAGGGGCTTCAGTGGCTGCACACAACAAAGACTTTGTGGAATTAGTTCCAGAGAGTCACTGAACAAGCAAACAGCAGCAGCAACGAGCACAACCAGCAACACAAAAAACCCTGGGGAGTAGGGGGAAGGGAGATCTGATTTTCAAAGTTACCACATTATATTTTGTAAATGTCCAGTTTTCAACAAAAAAATTGCAAAGAAACAAAAAATGTGTGGCCAATATACAGGGAAAAAAAACATCAGTCAATAGAAACTGTCTTTGAGAAAACCCGGATGTTGGATTTATTAGACAAATACTTTAAATTAGGTATTATATATATGTTCAAAGAATTAAAGGAGACTCTCTAAAGAACTAAAGAAAAGTATGAGAATGATGTTTCATCAAATAGAAAAGATTAACAGAGACAGAAATGAGTTTTTAAAAGGAAGCAAATACAGGGCTTCCCTGGTGGCACAGTGGTTAAGAATCCGCCTGCCAGTCCAGGGGACATAGGTTCAAGCACTGGTCTGGGAAGATCCCACATGCTGTGGAGCCACTAAGCCCATGCTCCACAACTACTGAAGCCCATGCACCTAGAGCCCGTGCTCTGCAACAAGAGATGCCACAGCAACGAGAAGCCTGCGCACCACAACAAAGAGTGGCCGCTGCTCACAGTAACTGGAGAAAGCCCGCGTGCAGCAATGAAGACCCAACACAGCCAAAAATAAATAAATAAAATAAATAAATTTATATTAAAAAAAAAGGAAGCAAATAGAAATTCTGGAGTTGAAGTGTACAAAAATTGAAATGGAAAATTCAGTAGAGTGGCCCAGCAACTGATTTTAGCTGGCAGGAGAAAGAATCAGTGAACTTGAAGATGAGTCAATTGAGATTATTTGGTTGAGGAACAGAAAGAAAAAAGAATGAAGAAAAATGAACAGAGCCTCAGAGACATGTGTGACACAATCAAGCATACATACATATGTGCAACGGGATTCCAGAACAGGAGGAGGGAAAGAAAAAGACAAAAAGGATACTTGAAGAAATAATGGCCCCAAACTCCCCAAATTTGTTGCAAAACATGGATCTACACATCAAAGAAGCTCAATGAACTCCAAGCAGTATAAACTCAAAGAGATCCATGTCTCAACATTGTATAATCAAACTGTAAAAAGAAAAAGATGAAGAGAGACTCTTGAAAGCATCAAGATGGAAGCAACTCATCATGTACAACAGTGGTCCCCAACCTTTTTGGCACCAGGGACTGGTTTCATGGAAGACAATTTTTCCATGGACTGGGGACAGGGATGTTTCAGGCAGTAATGTGAGCGATGCGTGGGGATGGTTCAGGCGGTAATGCAAGTGGTGGTTCAGGTGATAATGTGATGGTTCAGGCGATAATGCGAGCTATGGTTCAGGCGGTAACGCGAGCGATGGGGAGTGGCAGATAAAGCTTTGCTCGCTCTCCTGCTGCTCACCTCCTGCCGTGCAGCCTGGTTCCTGACAGGTCCGCAGCCTGGGGGTTGGGGACCCCAATGTACAAGGTATCTTCAATAAAATTAATAGCTATTATCTCATCAGAAATCATGGATGCCAAAAGCAATGGGATGACATATTCAGAGGCTGAAAGAAAAAAAAAGTGTCAACTAAGAATTCTGTATCCAGCAAAACTATCCTTCACAAATGAAGGAGAAATTAAGATATTCCCAGATAAACAAAAACCAAGAGAATGAATTACAAACAGACCTGTAAGACCTACAAGAAACACTAAAAGGAGTTGTTCAGATTCAAATGAGAGGACAGAAAACACCAATTTGAATCCACATGAAGGAATAAAGAGCACTGATAAAGATTACATAGATAAATATAAAAAACAGTATACATTTAATTTTTTTTAAAAAAACTAGACTTCCCTGGTGACACAGTGGTTAAGTACCTGCCTGCCAATGCAGGAGACATGGGTTCAAGCCCTGGTCCAGGAAGATCCCACATACTGCGGAGCCTCTGTGCCACAACTACTGAGCCTGTGCTCTAGAGCTCACGCTCTGCAACAAGAGAAGCCACCACGATGAGAAGCCCGTGCACCAAAACAAAGAGTAGCCCCCACTCACCGCAACTAGAGAAAGCCTGTGCGCTGCAACCAAGACCCAACACAGCCAAAAATAAATAAATAAAATAATAAATAAATTTATATATAAAAAAACTATTCTTCCCCTACCTCATTTACAAGACAATTGTATAAGGCAATAGCCATAAAACTGTGTTGACAGGGCTTCCCTAGTGGCGCAGTGGTTAGGAATCTTCCTGCTAATTCAGGAGACATGGGTTTGAGCCCCGGTCTGGGAAGATCCCACATGCCGCGGAGCAACTAAGCCCATGCACCACAGCTACTGAGCCTGTGCTCTGGAGCCCATGAGCCACAACTACTGAGCCTGTGCTCTGGAGCCCATGAGCCACAACTACTGAGCCTGTGCTCTGGAGCCCATGAGCCACAACTACTGAGCCTGTGCTCTGGAGCCCATGAGCCACAACTACTGAGCCTGTGCTCTGGAGCCCATGAGCCACAACTACTGAGCCTGTGCTCTGGAGCCCATGAGCCACAACTACTGAGCCTGTGCTCTGGAGCCCATGAGCCACAACTACTGAGCCTGTGCTCTGGAGCCCATGAGCCACAACTACTGAGCCTGTGCTCTGGAGCCCATGAGCCACAACTACTGAGCCTGTGCTCTGGAGCCCATGAGCCACAACTACTGAGCCTGTGCTCTGGAGCCCATGAGCCACAACTACTGAGCCTGTGCTCTGGAGCCCATGAGCCACAACTACTGAGCCTGTGCTCTGGAGCCCATGAGCCACAACTACTGAGCCTGTGCTCTGGAGCCCATGAGCCACAACTACTGAGCCTGTGCTCTGGAGCCCATGAGCCACAACTACTGAGCCTGTGCTCTGGAGCCCATGAGCCACAACTACTGAGCCTGTGCTCTGGAGCCCATGAGCCACAACTACTGAGCCTGTGCTCTGGAGCCCATGAGCCACAACTACTGAGCCTGTGCTCTGGAGCCCATGAGCCACAACTACTGAGCCTGTGCTCTGGAGCCCATGAGCCACAACTACTGAGCCTGTGCTCTGGAGCCCATGAGCCACAACTACTGAGCCTGTGCTCTGGAGCCCATGAGCCACAACTACTGAGCCTGTGCTCTGGAGCCCATGAGCCACAACTACTGAGCCTGTGCTCTGGAGCCCATGAGCCACAACTACTGAGCCTGTGCTCTGGAGCCCATGAGCCACAACTACTGAGCCTGTGCTCTGGAGCCCATGAGCCACAACTACTGAGCCTGTGCTCTGGAGCCCATGAGCCACAACTACTGAGCCTGTGCTCTGGAGCCCATGAGCCACAACTACTGAGCCTGTGCTCTGGAGCCCATGAGCCACAACTACTGAGCCTGTGCTCTGGAGCCCATGAGCCACAACTACTGAGCCTGTGCTCTGGAGCCCATGAGCCACAACTACTGAGCCTGTGCTCTGGAGCCCATGAGCCACAACTACTGAGCCTGTGCTCTGGAGCCCATGAGCCACAACTACTGAGCCTGTGCTCTGGAGCCCATGAGCCACAACTACTGAGCCTGTGCTCTGGAGCCCATGAGCCACAACTACTGAGCCTGTGCTCTGGAGCCCATGAGCCACAACTACTGAGCCTGTGCTCTGGAGCCCATGAGCCACAACTACTGAGCCTGTGCTCTGGAGCCCATGAGCCACAACTACTGAGCCTGTGCTCTGGAGCCCATGAGCCACAACTACTGAGCCTGTGCTCTGGAGCCCATGAGCCACAACTACTGAGCCTGTGCTCTGGAGCCCATGAGCCACAACTACTGAGCCTGTGCTCTGGAGCCCATGAGCCACAACTACTGAGCCTGTGCTCTGGAGCCCATGAGCCACAACTACTGAGCCTGTGCTCTGGAGCCCATGAGCCACAACTACTGAGCCTGTGCTCTGGAGCCCATGAGCCACAACTACTGAGCCTGTGCTCTGGAGCCCATGAGCCACAACTACTGAGCCTGTGCTCTGGAGCCCATGAGCCACAACTACTGAGCCTGTGCTCTGGAGCCCATGAGCCACAACTACTGAGCCTGTGCTCTGGAGCCCATGAGCCACAACTACTGAGCCTGTGCTCTGGAGCCCATGAGCCACAACTACTGAGCCTGTGCTCTGGAGCCCATGAGCCACAACTACTGAGCCTGTGCTCTGGAGCCCATGAGCCACAACTACTGAGCCTGTGCTCTGGAGCCCATGAGCCACAACTACTGAGCCTGTGCTCTGGAGCCCATGAGCCACAACTACTGAGCCTGTGCTCTGGAGCCCATGAGCCACAACTACTGAGCCTGTGCTCTGGAGCCCATGAGCCACAACTACTGAGCCTGTGCTCTGGAGCCCATGAGCCACAACTACTGAGCCTGTGCTCTGGAGCCCATGAGCCACAACTACTGAGCCTGTGCTCTGGAGCCCATGAGCCACAACTACTGAGCCTGTGCTCTGGAGCCCATGAGCCACAACTACTGAGCCTGTGCTCTGGAGCCCATGAGCCACAACTACTGAGCCTGTGCTCTGGAGCCCATGAGCCACAACTACTGAGCCTGTGCTCTGGAGCCCATGAGCCACAACTACTGAGCCTGTGCTCTGGAGCCCATGAGCCACAACTACTGAGCCTGTGCTCTGGAGCCCATGAGCCACAACTACTGAGCCTGTGCTCTGGAGCCCATGAGCCACAACTACTGAGCCTGTGCTCTGGAGCCCATGAGCCACAACTACTGAGCCTGTGCTCTGGAGCCCATGAGCCACAACTACTGAGCCTGTGCTCTGGAGCCCATGAGCCACAACTACTGAGCCTGTGCTCTGGAGCCCATGAGCCACAACTACTGAGCCTGTGCTCTGGAGCCCATGAGCCACAACTACTGAGCCTGTGCTCTGGAGCCCATGAGCCACAACTACTGAGCCTGTGCTCTGGAGCCCATGAGCCACAACTACTGAGCCTGTGCTCTGGAGCCCATGAGCCACAACTACTGAGCCTGCGCTCTGAGACATGGGTTCAAGCCCTGGTCCAGGAAGATCCCACATGCCGCGGAGCAACTAAGCCCATGCACCACAGCTACTGAGCCTGTGCTCTGGAGCCCATGAGCCACAACTACTGAAGCCCACATGCCTAGAGCCCGTGCTCGGCAACAAAGAAAAGCCACTGCAATGAGAAGCCCGTGCATCGCAGCGAGGAGTAGCCCCCACTCACTGCAACGAGAGGAAGCCTGCATGCGCAGCAATGAAGACCCAACGCAGCCAAATAGATAAATAAATAAATAAATAAATAAATTTATTTTAAACAAAAAAGAAATGTCTGTTGCTTGTAAACCATCCAGTCTATTCTGTTACAGACGCCCCAACGGACTAAGACACCCAAGACAATTAATAGTCATTCCTTGGCATCACTCAAAACCCAGGCCATTGTCAGAATGTCATTTTACACTCGGTTTCTTTGAATTGGGTCCAACAATGTCCTCACAACACGTTTCTCATGTATCCTAAATTCCTTTTATCCTAATCCAGTAGTTACAGAATTAGAAAATGCATTAGAATACTCTGGATGTTCTGTTAAAGCACAGGTGTCTGAACCTCACCCCCAGAGCTTCTGACTCAGGAGGTCTGGCAGGGGGCCCAGGAATCTGCATTTCTAACAAGTTCCCAGGCCATGCTGCTGGAATGGGGAACACACTTTGAGACCACTGCTCTAGGTTCCTCCTCTTCTTCTTCAACCCCACTTACCTTAGATCTGTTGCAGAAAAGGTGTGGAATGCTGGGTAATGCAGTAGCTTCTGGATTTGGTGCTTGTTTCTCTGTGGTCCCTTTATCTTGTTCCTCTCATCCCCATCTCTTGTTCTCAGCTTTGGCTGTACATTAGAATCCCGTGGGAGCTTTAACAAAATATCAGAGCCTGCACTGCATCTCCCATCTCCTGATTTAATTGGACTGGGTGGTGGCCTGGGCATGGAGACTCTTACATTTACCCAGGTGGTTGCAAGGGGTGGCCATGATCACGGCTGAGAATCAATAAACAAAGAGCTTCATCCAAAGATCATAGCGGGCTGAATCAGTTCTTTCACTGGAGATTGCAAAATGGTGGTTTATCTAATTCTTCCATCTTTCTTTCAGAGGGATTTTTTTAAAATTAATTAATTTATTTATTGGCTGAGTTTGGTCTTTGTTGCTGCGTGGACTTTCTCTAGTTGCGGCGAGTGGGGGCTATTCCTCATTGTGGTGCGCGGACTTCTCATTGTGGTGGCTTCTCTTGTTGCGGAGCATTGGCTCTAGGCTTGCAGGCTTCAGTAGTTGTGGCTCGCGGGCTTAGTTGCTCCGCGGCATGTGGGATCTTCCTGGACCAGGGCTCAAACCTGTGGTCCCCTGCATTGGCAGGCAGATTCTTAACCACTGCGCCACCAGGGAAGCCCCAGAGGGATTTTTAAA